ACTATGTGAAAGGCCTCGTAACAAAAGCCACTCTGTGCTCAGTCTATGCCACCTTGTATGCATGTGTGTGTTTGCACAAGCTCTTAACTCAAAGTTAAGTACCATGAGAAGTGAATGGAGGGGCATCACAGCAAGGCTCAGAAACCTTATGAGGGAAATGTTTCTTTTCTTTCTTTCTTTCTTTCTTTTTTTAAGACAGAGCCTCAAGCTATTGCCCTGGGTAGAATGCCGTGGCATCACAGCTCACAGCAACCTCTAACTCCTGGGCTTAAGTGATTCTCTTGCCTCAGCCTCCCAAGTAGCTAGGACTACAGGCACCCACCACAATACCTGGCTATTTTTTGGTTGTAGTTGTCATTGTTGTGCAGGCCCGGGCTGGATTTGAACCAGCCAGCTCTGCTGTATGTGGCTGGTGCCTTAGCCACTTCAGCTACAGGCACCAAGCTGGGAATGCTTCCATGATAATGTCAACATCCTGCAGTGAGTGGTTCTGAGGAAGGGCATGGTGAGAGAAGAGAGAGGAAGAGAGGGTGAGGGAAGGCAAGGCAGTGAGAAGCTGCTGAACTCATCCAGGGCTTGCTCTAGGCTGTGGCCCCAGCAGTATCTGGCTGCTGCAGATATTGAGATAATTTTGCAGGGGAAGCCATAGGTAGATGACCTTGAGTGTCTAACTAGAAAGGGCTGGGCCCAGAACCCAGCTGTTTTCTAGGGGGTGAAAAAAGTTCAAGGAAGAAAAAAATTATTAACTACTTGAAAGGAACTACTCCTGAAGATTTGAGGATATTTCCTTGCGTGTTTATGCTTGCTATTTCAAATATTTCATATATTGCTGGGAGTGAACGATGTCTTCCAAGGTGGTCAAACTCATCTTTATTTGAGCAGCTGAGGATCTCAGTTGTTCATCCCACAATGTCCATCCTCAGCACTCCCCCACCCCCCAAATGTGAAGGAAAATATAAGCTAACACCTTTCAGATGTGGTCATATGGGGAAAAGGTGGCAGCCAGGAACTTCTCCCTGCTCTTGGTGGTGGCAGGAGAAACTTTGCAAGCTCAGCAGAAAACAAGAAAAAGTTCTTTCTTTTGACATCTGGTCAGAACTCAGGTTCTCACCCTAGGCTCAAAGCCATTAAGGGTGTGTCTTAGTATGTAGGATCAAACCTTGCCAAGCAGCCCCAAGCGACAGTCCCCAGTAGTATATGTCTTAAGTTGATAGTATATGTCTCAAGTTGTGTATGAGGAAGCTATTACTTCTTAGACAAGTACCCAAGAGTAGCTGATACACAAAGACCACCCAGCCTGTGTCCGGTATTCCTTCTCCACTACTAGTCTGTAGCTATTGTCACCGCTTCCATATGGCTGACATCTTAAGGTCTTCGGCTTGATAGCTTGCTTAGTTGGAGGGAGCCATTCTGCCTCTCACTGCTGGGCTGAGACAGTGTACGCTGGGCTGTGCAGTGTGGTGTCTTCACTCTGGGAGTCTCAATCCTACAAATCCTTCCAGAATCTCCTCTGTTCTGTCCTCCTGTTGGAGTTCTTGCCCCTCAGCCCAGCTTCTCTAGTCCATTTGACATATCCCTTCCTTCAAAATAAACTCTTGGGCATCAAAATGTATGATGAGCCTTCATCTCCTGGGCCATATCAGGAAGGAAACAGACGGTCCTCTCCTTCCCTCCCCTCTTCCCCACCCTATCACCAGGGGGCTATTTTAAGCATGCTTGGTCATTAGTGGGGCATCCCACTCTTCCTAGCTTTCGCCTAGGCACGGAGCAGGACCTTTAAATGTGTGCTAAAGAAATTCCCTGCCTATATTTGACTTTTCAGTAGTGCCATTAGAATGATAGCTTCTGGCTCGGCGCCTGTGGCTCAAGTGGCTAAGGCGCCAGCCACATACACCTAAGGTGGCGGGTTTGAATCCCCAGCCCGGGCCCACCAAACAACAATGACGGCTGCAACCAAAAAATGGCCAGGTGTCGGTGGCGGGCGCCTAAAGTCCCAGCCACTTGGGAGGCTGAGGCAGGAGACTCGCTTGAGCCCAGGAGTTGGAGGTTGCTGTGAGCGTGGATGCCACAGCACTCTACCCAGGGGGACAGCTTGAGGCTCCGTCTCAAAAAAAAGAAAAAAAGAATGACAGCTTCTGAAAGCAGCCTACGGGAGAGGCTCTTCTAAAGATAGTTCTGACTGTAATTCTTCCTCCCTCTCTTTTCTCTTCTTTCCCTCCTCCACCCTCCCTCTTTTCCTTCTTGTCCTCTCCTTCTCTTTCTCCTTCCTATCCTCCTTTTATAAAACTATTGGACTCTTTTTTCCATACACCCCTTTCAGTCCTTTACTGCACCTCTGTACCCCTCCTGCTGACAAGCACCTTCTCCTGGCCAGTGAGCTCCGCAGAAGTCTCTGCAGAGCCGAGGTCCTCTCAGACTCCTGGAAGCCCACCCTTAAGAAGGCTGGGGGAATTACCACAGTCACAAACATAAGACAAGAGATGAACAGAGAGGTTGCATTTCAAATTTAAAAAGCTCTGAGTGCTGTATGCTTGGAGTACAGAAGGACTGTTGAGACGGGCCCCCATCCACAGCCCTCTACACCTCTCTTCTTTTACACAAACCCTCTGCTTGTTCAGTTGGCGCCTCCACTCCTTGCTCATTGTAAATACAACTTACTCATTTCAGCCTCAGGGCCTTTTGTCAGTACTCTGTTCTGTGACATCCCACCCTGAGTGACTTTATCCTTCTCCCCAGCCCAGCCAAACTGTTCTCATCTATCAAGCACCAGACCCACAACTCACTTCTTCTACAAAGCCTTCTTTGACTAGTCTGGCTGCTTCCAAGAGGGAGCTAAAGAGCTCTTTTGAAGTTGTTCTCTGCAGTGGAGGTGCTGCCAAGAGTGGCCCAACTTCTCCCTAAGGGTCCAGTAGTGGACGGGGATTACCAGACCTTCTCTCTCTCACTCCTGATCAATTTGCCTGTAGGCTGCGGCTACTGGCCTGAAAGGAATTCAAATCCTCAGAGCATGGGTCATACTCTGTAAGAAGTGTTTGGGTTTTGTTTGTTTATTTTTACTTTTCAAAGGCTGACTTACACGTATCAAATTTTCTTTTGAAAGGACATGGCAAAAAGGCAAAGGAAGCAAGAAAACAGTTACTAAATAGCTGAACATCTTTTTCTAAGAAGTAAAATTTAATTATACTCTAATGCAGAAGTATTTTCAAAAGTTATTCATGCAATGTCTTCTTTTTCTAGGGATGCTTTTTGTAAGTGGATAAAGTTATTCGAGAATAGGCCAATGCTTTATTAAAAATGAAAAGTGAAATGATAAAGCCGCCTCCAAAAGTGGCTGCGATGAGATGTTAAAATGTATTTTTTTCTGAAACACAGGAATAGCAGGAGTGCCACTTTTGTCAGCTCTCTCAAACTTTGTGAGCTCTCTCTAATAGTAATAGTAACAGAAATATCCAGAAAGGCATGACCATCCTCAGAACACTCTCCTAGATTAGGGCTGCTCCCTCCAATCACAGTTTCCCCTAATGGCTCATTCTCTACATCCCTTATGAGTTAATCTGATCTGTTTATAGGCACACAGAGCTGGTTTGAATTATTTCTCCAAACTTGTAACTTAATTTAAATAAAATAATCAGAACTCCATAGATACCGAAGATTTGCAGAAATTCAGATGATTTTTGCATGTGTAGTAGGCTTTAAAGCATATTTAAAAAATCTTATTCAGTTCATAAAGGTTTAGATATCTCTGAATAATACACTGTTAAGGAGATTTGTATGGTAGAGTAACAAAAATTTGGTATATAAATAAAAACATGAATTTGTCGTTTGTATTAAAAAAGAGCAACCAGAGCCCGGGAACTAGACATTCAACATCTGATACAATCTCTAGTCCTCAGAAGTAGATTAAGATCAATACCTCATTTACTATGACTAAGGCGCTAATAGCCCAAATAAGGTTTGGTCAACAATCTAGGTCACAGAGAATAAAGGAAGCAAACAAGTCATCAAGACACTTTTTACATCAGAGGAGAAATGAGGTTTGATTAAATGAGTTGCAACTTTATTTTCAGTAAAGACCTTCGCTCTGAAAAGCATGTATCTTGATTGCATAATCACTAATTACATCCTTATTATTTTTATAAGGCAAGACAAGGACACCAGAATCAATTACAGTAGAAACAGAAGAAACATTTATATTAGAGTAGTTAAAATTTCTGTTTAAAATATCTTTGAAGCTCAGGCTTTAGGAGGCTGAGGTGAGAAGACTACTTGAGGCCAAGAGTTCAAGACCCGTTTAATCAATACAGCAAGCCCTCATCTCTACAAAAATAGAAAACTTAGCTGGGCATGGTAGGGTATGACTGTAGTCCCAGGTTCTCAGGAGGCTGAGGCAGGAAGATTGCATGAGCCCAGGAGTCTGAGGTTACTGTGAGCTATGATGATGCTACCATACAGCCTGTGTGACAGAGTGAGACATTGTCTCAAAAAGAAAATCTCTTTGCCCACCTGGAAGTATTGTTTTGAGATGACTGGACAGACAACAAATGATTAGTAGAATGAAATAACTTCATTGTCTTTTAAAATAGTCTCATGAGACGAAGGGTACAGTGGCACATACCTCCAGTCCCAGGTACTTGGGAGGCTGAGGCGAGAGGATTGCTTGAGTACAAGAGTTTGAGATTACACCGGGCAATACAGTGAGACTCTGTCTCAAAAAACTAAACCAAACAAGTCAAATCAAAAAAGTTTCCTAAGAAGGAAAGATTTTAGAAAGTTAAGTGCCATGAGAATTGAAGAGTGCCACACCTGGGTGGTTTATACCTTCTAGGCAGGTATTGATTGTAGGCCCAAGTGAAATTCTGATAATGTCTACATCACATGCATAGGACCTCAACTACTTGTCAGCTCCAATGTCAGTTCTAAAGCCAGAAGATGAGTCACTGCTAGATAAGGAAAGTCTGGGGGTTGCCTGGTGCTTGCTCCACCAAGACTGGGATACTTACGGGGCAGTGAGGTAACCTTCCAAAACGCCAGCCACAAACATGGTCATCTCATTGCTCAGGGCTTGAGAACCATACCCAGCTCTGATCTCCAGGATGCCCCAGCCTGTGGCATTCATGGAGTTATTGTAGAAGCCATAGGCATCCCCATTCTTGTCTATTACTTTTTTGACTTCTACTGTCTTTTCAGCAGGCTTCCAGTAGGCAGTTGCATAGTAGACTCCTGGAAGAAAAGGAATAACGACAGAATGCTATTCAGCTGTGTTGCTGGTGCCTTTTTGTCTGTGAGACAAATTCTTCTGACAATTCCAACACATTCACTTTTAAAGATTGCCGTTCAATTAGAATGGGGACGTCTGCCATTGTAGTTTTCCCTTCTTCCAAGTGGGGGGAAACTGGGGCCTTTGTCAAAGCAGAAGACCAGCACACAAAGATCCAGGTGAAATGTGGGTCTGTAATTAAGCATCATAGAGACGGGCCTCTGGGTTTCACCCTTAGAGGGTAGGGTTTAATTCAGACAAGGATAGGGCTCTGGTACCTAAGAAACAATGCTTTCATTCCCCGCAGCAGTGGGACCTACCATCCTCAGACTCTTATCTCCTGCCTAATTTTTCACACATGGCTTTATTCCAATCTTGCAGGAAAAAGTAGAAGCTATCTCCTGTGACTCTTCAAGTCTTGGTAATTTTGTGGATCCATCCCTGCAAACTTTGCAGTCATCCTGACCATCGCTCCTTCAGCTTCAACTCAATCTTTTGCCCCAGGCTGGGTATCCCACCCCTCTTGCCCTCTTTAGGAACTTTGTGCCATTCTATATCTATCTTCTTGCTCCTGTACCCCAAAGTTCTCTCTCTCTCTCTGTCTGCAGTAGCTCCTTCCCCATTAGCACAATTAACATGCTCCACTGTCTCACAGCTAAAATCAAACCCAGCCACAGAAGCTCTCTGGATCCTGTGGCCCCAAGTAGCCTCGGTTGGACCCCCTCACTCCTTTCATGAAGCTATTAAAAAGTTGACAAGGTATCTGTGCTGTGTCAGTGACTGTGCCAGTGACAGAACTATGAACAAGACCTGCTCCAGGCCTCATGTTCTGGAGAAAGGAGGGTGCTCGTATCCATGGCTTCCTCCTCTCTCTGCCTCTCTCCAGCCTGTCCCAGTCTAGTCCCCTCTCCCCACAGGCCACCAGCATTGCTTCTGCCTGGGTCACTAAGGAAATCCACAAGTCCTAATGTCACATGAACTGCTGAAAGCATTAGACCCTGGTGACCCTTACTCTTTCCTTCCCTGGCATCTGGGACACACCACTCTCTTGAACCTCCTTCGCTGCCCTTGACCTCACTCTCCCCAGGGACTCCTCTTTATCTCCCCACAACACACTGGATGACATAATCTGGATGATTCCACAGCACTAGAGATTCAAAATGTCAAAAATGAAACCCACATTCTCCCCCGGCCCATCCTCCATCTTCTACTTCTATCTCTGTGATCTCCTATCCTGCCCTCTTTTCTATCCCTTGGAACTTAGGTTTAATCAAACTTCCTAAGTATCTCCCCCCACGGGTCTCTTCCCGCTTATCTGACATTTCTATGCTACTTTAGGTATCACAATTACCTTAACTATAGAAAAGGCCTTTTTTAAGGGTCCTCTGATTTTAAATCCATTCTTCTTTCTCTACCAGAGTAAGCTTTCCAAAATGCAAACCATGGTTTTGTTAGCTCACCTCCTGAAAGTCCTTGATGGCTTCTGTTTCCTATAAAAAAGGGTTATTCGCTTACTGTCTTGGCCTTCGTGACCTGGTTTCTATCTACCTAATCAGCTTCCTCACCACCACCCCCTGCACTGTGTGATCCAGAAACCATAACAGACAGCTCTCAACCCAGCAGAAGCTGGGTCAGCATCTCTGACTTTGCATACACTCTTTCTTCTGCCTGAGACTTTTCTCTCCCATTAACCACCTGGCAACCTCAGGACTCAGGAAGCAGCACCCCTTTTGTGAGGGTTGATCTTCTCTACAAGCTCTGTGTCCCTTGTGTGGGCATCTTCTATTTGCCGTATCACATCATACTGTAACTTAAATGTCTGCCCTAGCTATGAACTGCTTGGTGCCAGACACTTTTCCTCAGCACTTGGTATAGTGCCTGGCTCACAACAGGTACTGAATAAATATTTGCGAATGGAAGAGAGACTTAGGAAGGAAGAGAGAGAAAAAAAGGAAATAAGAAATGGAGAAAAGAAACAGTCTATAGAGCATTTTTCTCCCACTGAGAAACCCTTGCAAACCTGCTGTGGTTAAAGACAGAGACTGTACCTTCAAGTCAGCCATTAAAGAGGAGGGAGGAGGCCAGAATGACTCTCAGCTTCTAGGCTGAGGCTCAGTGAATGGATGTTGTATCATTCAGCAAGGAAGCGTTGGGGAATAAATCTGAGTGGGAGTATAAGTTTAGTTTTAGCCATACTGAGTTTTTAGTAGTCAATAGACTAGAAAGTTCAGCTGCAATACTTACATAAGGTTATCTGTTGGCAACATTCAAAACTGAACCAACATTTTATTTTTTGATTTTAAGACTATCTGTCAAAAAATTCCTACCAGTGTAATCTTAACACTATTCCATCATAGCACCTTGACCCAGGGGGTTCGGTGACATGCTGAGACTTGTTTAGGCTTTCAAAGTAATCCTGATTACAAGTCTTAATGATCCTGCATAGGTCTAAGTCATCTTACTTCTGAGCAAAATCATGTCCATAACGACAGGCTTTCTTTAACTCTGTGGTTAAGTGGAAGTAGTGACATTAATAAGCATAGGGAGGTGGTGAATACTTTACTAATAAACTTCTGGTGACAGATAATTGTTTAAATGTTAGTGAAACCAATTGGCCAGAGTTTGACAACTGTGGGCAGCATCCGCAGAAACTTCCCCTCCCAAAGGTCTGAGCCCTTCCTCAGCTTTTCCTACACCTTCCCCTCCCCCCTCACCTCCAGTCAGCCCTGCGGGAAATGGGGAAGCATGGCTGGATTAAAAAGGAGCCAGAAAGAGCTGTGGAGGGGGAGGGTCATAAACAGGAACCATAAAAGGAAAAAAAAAGTGGGTAAGGCTCCTGCACTTCTCTTTTAGTTCTAGCCACACAGCGTGATCTTAGCTTTGTCTCCTTCTCCAAAACCTTGGCATTTTTCATCCCAAACACCCTGGTCTTCCTTCCCCCACCCCTTTCCATTCTAGCAACCCCCTTTTGCTGTAAATTCGGGCTTGCTCAAGCAATCTAAGTACTATGCCCCAGTGCTGTGTTTTCACTGCTCCTGACACTACCCAATTTCCTGACCACAAAACTGAACTTCTACAAATGTGTACTTTTTGACCTTTGTGTACCTCTGTGCATAAAAACACCTTTACCCAGTTTTCAAGAGAAGTCAGTGATAAAAATTGGCTACTGACAATTTAGCATATGCTTTGAGAACAAAGCCAAAATCCGAGTTGTCACTCTGCCTCTGACAAGGTCCTTCATTCCTCAATGTTTTTTCCATGTTTCAACTCTCTCTGGTTTTCCCCATTATCCGTATTACTTTCTGATTTGCTTAAATCCTTTAATCCTCATCTGAAATAACCCAAGTAATTATGTTTTCACGCTTGCGTAAGAGGCCTATAGGATGGTTCAGATTCTCAGCCTAAGTCCACCAAGAACAAGGAGCAAGTCCCATTTGTTGACATTTTTCTTTAGAGTTGTGAAAATAAAAAATCAGATTTAAATATTCTTAACATTTTGAGGATATTCTCTTTATGTCCTCAAAATCAATGCTCTTGATAAATAGTTGTTGGATAAATGCGAATAAAATCAGACTACTTTTCTTTTATAAATAAAGATGGAAAGTGCTCTATTATTTTTATATTTCTCCTTATGCAAAAGACCAAACACATATTAAATTTCTTTTATATCCCTGTGCACTCTTACTAATATTTTTTATGAGTTCATTGTTTTCAGTTGAAAGAAATTCCTAATCCTATTTTTAGAAAAAAGGGAATTTATAAAATACTCTTAAAGGGGCTTAAATCCCTCTCTCCCATATTTGGAACCTAATTTTCCTAACACCTCATTTATAAAAGAATATGCAGTTTTCAACCGTGAGCAAAGCAACGTGTGCCTAATATATTCAGCAAGTCAGAGAGAGAACAAGAGAAAGAGAAAACAATTATAATTGAAACAATCTATTCAGACTGAGGTTAGCTAATAAGTCACCGATTCCGATCCTTACATTGTGTTTCTCTTTATGTCCACTGAGCTAGTCTCTCTGTGGACCTTGGCATTGCACTGTCCTTCTTTGAAAGGGCTCTCAGCAAATTGATAATCTGGTTTTCATTATTTTTTTTTAAGGAAAGAATTGATTTGTGAGTTAAATATTCTCTAGAAAACACAATTATAAGTAGGTGTTTTAACTTTGACTCTCTTTAGAGATCAGAGCCTAAGACTTTTGCTTAAAGGAGGATTATTTTGGCAAGTGCTCCCAGGGAACAGGAGGTGAGGGATGGGGAAAGGGGAAGGGAAAGGGGGAAACTGGGAAAGCCAATTCAAGGGTACATTCTGAGCTGGTTTCCATATTGGACACCAGGTTGATCCCACTGGGACCCTCTGAAGAGGTGTGTAAAACAAGCCTCAAATCTTCCCAGGGGTGGAAGAAGGAGCATATATTTTCAACAGTTGCCCTATGAACCCATTAACTCCCTCATTCTCAGTTCTGCATGTGCTCCAGTTCTAAATGGTTATGATTTCAGAGACGTACCCAAGTGGAAAGCAAGAGCCCTGGAGTAAGGCTGAGTCACCTCAGGTCACACCTGCATGAAGCTAGAATAGAAGGCAGGTTGAGAGGATGTAAGGTTGGATGCCTAGTACACCTGACACATTAGCTAACTAGAAAGGGACACCGCCATAAAAGACAGCTTCAATGCAACAAAATACTAATATAGAAAAATGCTAAAGATTTGCTTACATGTGGAATGATCTCTTTCCTTCCTCCCTTGAAACATACCAGCTGAAATCAGAGTTCCTGCCAAAAGTGTTATCAGCAGAAAGTCAACTTTGCCCCATTTTGGTTTGACGCTCATGGCTCAATCCTCATCTAGATCACTTATTATAATAGTTAGACATTTTTGTGTATTTGGTCCACTAAATTTAATTATAAGCTCCTTGAGAATGGGAGGTGGCATCTTGTATTATCACATCCGTTCTCTAGGAGCTAGCACAATGCTTTGTGGAATATGTGGCCCACCTAAATTCCAAACTTTCACACTGGCTAGGAAGGTATGACAGACTTGTGTCAAGTTCATAGTCTGCTAATTCTTGATTTCTAATTATGAATTAGAACCTTGGTATCTTAGGTTTGCAAATGACCTCAAACAGAATGACAGTGGTTTGAATAAACTGATGCTTCCTTATGCCAAAATCATTACTGCATGGGCATGGCTGATGGACCAACTTCAGAGGAAGCTTGTCTCTTTCAGTGATTTGCTCATTCTGTTTTGAAATCTCTCTATCAAGACACATGCACAAATTTCTCTAGGAAGATTGCAACATGATATTTGTTAATTGTGTAGACACAGTGTTTCAAGTTCTAGACTAAAATTTCCTTATAATTTCACTACCTCTATTTCATTTTTTACAGGAATTAAGTAAATTCCTGTTTTGTAACAGTACAAAGAAGCTACATGATAACATTGTTAATACATTTTCTAGTCACATTTTAAAGCTAAATTCTCAAAAGATTCTGAAATGTAAGTTATAGGAGAAACTGGAACCTATTCCATTAAAAAAAGATAAAATTTACACTTTGAAAAGATTTCAATGTGTAAAAAGAAAAAATGTTGAAGAAAATAAATCTTTTGAGATTCTTGCCATGATTAGTGCTGCTGCCTCTTTGCTTTTTGCTGTTTCAATAGCTAATGCTTTATTATTTGGAATCCAACAAAACCAGAAGATAACAAGTGACTATGTAAAATTAGTGCCTAAAGAAGCATGAAAACAAAAAGTTCTGTTCTGCTTATCAGAGCAAACTTCCAAGACAAAATTCACATGTTTCATAGTTTATATGTTATAAAAATAAATCACCATGAACATTTTTTTTTTACAAAAATTGTTCTACCTCAATGTAAACACTAAAGGAGGATGATTCTTTTCTCATTTTCTTCTAGAGGAAGATTTTGATCTTTGCTCTCAGATGAATTCTTCCAGAAAGGCCATGAAAGGAAGTTTAATAACAAAGATAAATGGGACATCTAGGAATAGTTCTGGAACTTGTGTACATTTTTTTTTTCGACCAATAAAGGGAGAACACAACCAAGTGTTGGGGCTTACACAGAGCACTAGCTTCTTTTGGATCTCAAACACCAAAGCAATGGGGATGAGAGACTGGAAGATTTGGCAAGGCTCCAAAAGAAAGTAAGGCGTAGGGACATTCTAAAGCAGGCATAGTGAAAAAAACTTCACTTAGGAAAAAATAATCAGTCACTCAGTTATATTAACAACAGAGGAAAGCAACCTAGGACATTGTTTTGTTGTTGTTCTGGGACAGAGTTTCACTTTGTCACCCTTGGTAGGGTACCGTGGCATCATAGCTCACAGGAATGTCAAACTCTTGGGCTCAAGTGATCCTCTTGCCTCAGCCTCCTACAAAGTTGGGACTATAGGTGCTTGCCACAATGCCTGGCTATTTTTAGAGATGAGGTCTCACTCTTGTTCAGGCTGGTCTCAAACTCCTGAGCTCAAGTGATCCACCTGCCTCAGCCACCCAGACACTGGGAGTACAGGCATGGGCCACTGTGCCTGGCCTTGCTCTTTGTTTTTTCAAACACTTTCTTAATGTGCTGGTGCTGTATGCCTCAAATGCCTGAAATGGTGGGCCATGATTAAGGAAACATCCTGCTTTTAGAACAAGTTATTTCTTCAAAGCACAGGAATTACCATTTGCATTCTGCTTGTCTTATCAAGCATCTGTGATGATTTTCCGAAGAAAAGAAACTCCAACAGCCACTCAGTTAGATAGCATTTATTTACTGTATGACAGGTGCTGGTCCTCACAACAATCCTGGGATATAGATACTATTATAATACTGATTTCATGGATGAAGAAAATGAGGCATAGAGAGATTAAATAAGTGACTAAAGGTCACACAGTGCTGGAGTCAAGATGGCAACACAGGCAGTTGGGTTTTAGGGGGATTTCTGTTTCTGGAATTCTATGGTACTCCCCTAATGCTATACTTCCAAGAGTGAAGAACTTTTAAAGAAGAATAGGCACAAAGAGCAGCTATGAGGCCCTATGTCAAGTGAATTTGGAAATAAGGATGCCCTTGGAGGTAAAATATTAACTGAGATTATTAGCCCCAAATATAGGCTGCCAAGTCACCTTACAGGGACTGAATAACTCCCAGGACTGTAAATTCCTTGACAACCAGATAAAAGTATTAACCTACTCAGAGAGAAAATCTGTTAGTCTTAAGTGGACATTAGGGATCCAAATATGGGCAAGGCAGAGTCAGGGGCCAGGTATGCCAGGCAAGCACTGACCAGTGGAAGGGCACCATGTTGGCTTCATTCAAGTGTCCAGTACATACTGGGAGAAAGATCAATCAAACCTCCAGCCTGAGAACCCCTGATATTATCTATCCCATGTAGTTTGATCACAGTGAGAATGTGCCTGGGCCAGGCCACACAAATACTCAGCCTGCCTGACATATATTTCTAGCTAAAAATTAACAGTGTGGGGAATAGACCTGCATGTTCATCAGGGTGAATCAGCTTCCTTGGATCTGATCCCAACTGGAGCACTGGGAAGACTGAATTTCTAAAGCTTACCCCTGCAAGACTGAGGACAGATTCTGAACCAGTTTTACCAAAGTATGTGCCACCCTATGAGGCACTCAGCAGCCAATCCATTTCTTTTCACAGTGACAACCCAATTTACTATAAGTATCACTTAGAACAAATTGCACAAGGACTCTTAAAAACAAACGTGGGACTTTTCTGTTTGGAAAGATTAAAGCAACCCTATTATATGTCTGAAGTCTATCATAGCTTGAAAGGTAAGGCTAGGATGAAATGTGCAGTTCTTTGCCCATTTCAGGAATAATGAAACTACAACATTACTATTAAAAATGAAAGAAGTTGTATGTGTCTACAATTCATGGTGATAAAAATTGTTTTTTAAATTAAAGAAAGTTGTTTCTAAACAACTTTTTAGAAAGTTGTTTTTAAATTAAAGAAGTTGTTCTTGGATACAAAGATGCATATTGGTGGATGTAAAATTCATTCCAAGGGGATGAAAATGCACACGCTTTACTGCGTATGCAGTTCCTGTTAAAGTTCAGAGTACTGAGCCAGGTATTTTGGAGAACACATGACAAGCAAGAGGTAGCAAAGGCCCTTTTCTCTAGTCTCAAGTTGTCAGCAGACTAGCAGAAGATTAAGACAAAGATCCAAAAAGTGCAACAGAAAACAGATTCATAAAAGTGGAACAAAGGAAACAAAAATCACATCTGTTTGGAACAGCCAATGTGGCATCACCAGATGTCCTTCAGCCCTATGATGAGAAGCTTTTCCAGACTGCAGGACATGGTGCTGTCAGGTTGCTTGGCACCCACGATGTCTCACTTTCTACCTAGGTTCTAGAACCTCTAGACGTAGAGTCAGCTTCCAGTTTGGGGAACTCACTTAAAGGTGCAGTTTCTTACCAGGTGGATCATCTTGAATAAACAGTACCCCATCTTTGGGAAACAGTATCTCCACCCATTTAAAATAATCTCAAAGTCCAAAAGAACAGAAAAGGAAGAAAGATTTCAGCCAGCATTCCAGACACATGCAAAAGTTGTTTGCATTTCTGAGACCCTTCCGCTGCATGTGTGGGTCTGAATGAGCAGTCTCCATGAGCTAAAAGTAGGCACTAAGGCCACCTTCATAATTCAGGCAAAGAAGAGAATGTGCAGGGAAGTCAGGAGTCGGGAGCCTGTGGGTGCACCTGATCCCTCATGTCTGCACAGACAGGAAGGAGTGAAGATTGGAGAGTGGTAACTGGGCAAAGACTTTAAAATCTGGTGATTGCAGATCCTTGCTGATGGAAGGTGGTGTGGCAAGGATCCCTACACACATTTGAGAAGAAGCATCTTCCCTAAACCCCACCCTTTTCTTGCACAAGATCAGCAGAGAAAAGGGATTAAGAAATAAAACAAAATTAATCTTCTCTTGTTACTATTAAAGTCCTTTAAGTTCCTATAGTTAACAATCTTGGCTTTACTCATTGGAAATTGAAGTAACAATTTTTTTTTTTTTTTTGCATAGGGTGTAAGTTTACATTAATTGCCTGTAGGGATAAAACCTGTTTTTCCAAGAGGGGAGAAGTTAGGCAAATGCTCTGACATCCTAGCTTGGTCTTCACTGACTTTATCTTTATGCAAATTCCTGACTTCTTCCCAGTCTCAATTTTCTCATCTGCAGAATGGGTATTATGTCATATTTAGGGTTATAGTGACCATTTTATCAACACATAACCCCTTTCTCACACTGCCTGGCACATAGCAAGCTGACACTACCACGATGCAATCATTATTTTAGGCCAAAGTCATTGTCACTATTTAAAAACAAGTGGCACCCCCCAGCGTCATACCTCCCAATGATCTAGTTATATTTAGATGTCCTTTGGCTGGAGTTTATAGGACCAGCCCAGGCTCTGTGGGGCCAAGAGTCAGTGCAGAAGTGAACTGATTTGTTGGCCAAGAATTCTGGCCCAAACTTTCTACGTTCGTGTAGAAACACACTCCATGCCCTTCTCACGTGCCATCGCCGCCCCACGGCAGGGCTGGCGTCCACCCAGAAACAAGACACCGCTGGAAGTTAACTTGGCCAGACTCCGGGCTGGGGCGGGCAGCGCCCAGTGCCGGGCCCCCGGATCCCCAGCCCGGGCGGCGGCCGGGGCGCGCGCGCTGCTCACCTGGAGGGTTCTTCCGAGCCGCGGTGACCAACAGCAGCGGCGGCGGCAGCAGAAGCAGCAGCAGCAGCGGCGGCAGCGGCGGCAGCCCGAGGCGCCTGTCCAGGGTGCGGTTGGCCATAGCTCCGCGGTCCCGACCTGCGCTCGGCGGGCGAGGTGGCCTCTGTGGCCAGCGGTGGCAGCTGGGGCTCCGCGTCTTAGAGATCGGGCCGTCCTTAAATTTCCTCTTGCATTAGTCCTGCCTGTTCGAGGAAGCTTCACGTGGCCTTGGGAACAACCTTCCTCCTACTGGGCCCCAGTCTGGGAAAGGCGGGTCCTTTCGGTCTGACCCTCTAGCAACCTGTGGGCCGGGCTGGGAAAGTTCCCCAGCAGCACTTGTGGGAAGTGCAGAGAGACGGCGAGCAGCTCTCTACACTCTTGGGCAGTTTCGATGCACAAGGCTTGAAGGAATCTAATCAGTTTGCGTCAACAACACGAGCCTCTGCCTCCAGGGTCGGCCAGTCCCGGGCAGCACCCAGAGCAAGGATGAAATGCATACCCCTGTCTACACGCAGCTCCCAGTCTTTGCCATTCGGGGAGGTCTTGTGACCCCGCAGTGATGGTGATTAGTGTCCCTCCATCCCGGGCTGTTTAACACAACTTCATTGGTTGCAGCTCAAGACTTTTGGTTCTTTGCCTCTCTTCATTGGCTGGAGCCACTACTGAAGAGTGATTCAGACAGGGCTGAAACGGGATACACTCCTAAGTCCCTGTGAGGTCCCCATTTCTGTGGAGGGGCAGTTGAAAGTGACATTGTGAAGCAGGCAAAAATGATGCCTCGGGGGACATTGTGAAGTTGGCCCAGGGTGCCCTAGGTGACATTGTGAAGTAGGTGAAAAAGCATTTTATTCCTTCAGTAGGACGTGATTGAGCGTATCTTATGCTCCAGGTCCCAGGGATAGTAAGAGTCTTCCCCGGCTCAGGTAAGGACGGACAAAGCTGTATAGAGATAAACAGGTCCGTAGAAGTTGCCAGCAGTGCCCCCGCCATAGAACTACGCTTAAGGTACAGGTGGGGAAGGGGCAGGAGGGAAGAAGCCACCACACAGCTGGGGGCCTGGGCACCCCACTCTTCTTCCTGGCCTTTCTTCTGAGCTTAACTGAGGCGTCAAGGAGAGACGGGAAGAAAGAACAAGAGTTATCTTTCCTAGAGGGGGATCCCCTTGGAGTTGTTAGAAAAGATAGAGTACCATTAAAAATGCATCAAATCTCTGTGCAAATTGTGGAATACAGACCACAATTTTGTAGGTTTGGTGACATTCATTGCATAATGAAGGAACAGACGATGTTGTAAGAGTTGCACATATTCCTTCAAGTTGGAAAAGCAAAGTGAAGGGAATTATAAACAACTTGGTTTTGTCATGTGGAGAGAGAACTAACTATGTTAGGATGTTGATGAAAGTTGCGCCACCCTAAATATTTCAGTTGCGTTGCCCGATTAAAACGTCCAATTCAGCGCATCAAGTGTTCTGATATACTTGTGTATATAACCATGCCTCATGTGAACTATGAGGCATTCATCTAGTATTTAGTCATCAAATATTTGTCAACTACCAAGTTCCAGGCACAGAGCAGTAAACAAGATAAAGTCCTTTCCCTCACAGAACGTCCATTCTAGCAGGGGGGATAAACAAATGAATTGGATCAGGGTCTCTCCACCTCAGCACTACTGAAATTTTGAACCAGATAATCCTTGGTTGGGGGTGGGGGGTGGCGGGTGGCGGTTTGTCCTGAGAATCCCCGAGCCTTTGCCCATTGGATGCTGGTAGCACCTTTCATCCACTGGTTGTGACCATCAAAAATGTCCCCCAACATTATCAAATGATCTCTTGGAGTGAGGAGCAAACTACCTCCAGCTGCAAACCACTGAATTAGAGGATAATAAATCTTGACCTCTTTAAATTGTGGGGTTTTACCTGTCTGGGAGGAAACTGAGCAGCAAAACTCATTCACACTAAAGCTGAGGTGACGAGAACTAAAGACACTTCTGTTACAGACATGTGTGTCTGGAGGCTACTCACCATCTATATTATCCTGTTCCCTGTAGGAACTTTCCCTGAGTCTGGACTCCACTGGCTAGAGGTTTTAGTGAGCATGGGTGGAGGAATGTTTTTCCAGCAGGAGACACAGTGTAGTAGTGTTATTGGAATTTGAAAGGGCTATCTGATCTTTTGTGAACCCCTCTGGAAAAAAAAAATGGGTGAGAATAGGACTGTAGTTTAGATTAGAGCAATTTAGCCTGACCATCAAAAGGAAATAGCCCTCCTACACAGCAGGAGTGGGAAGCAGTAGAAGGGACTCAGGGGAGTCCCTTTAACACCATGTCCTAAGGAAATGGTTTGTGAAATTGCTGTCACCTCACCTAGGCAGCATTGCCAGGATTCAGGTTCCTCATTCCAAGGGGCAAAGAATCTTATCCAGCTGAGATAAAGGGAGCCTGGGGAAAAGGTGGAGAAGCCACAAATATCACCTGCAGCCAGTGACCACTTGGGGGAACAGGGACAGCGGTCTCTATTGGCCACTGTATTTCTTTCCTTGCTGTAACATACGCGTGATGGACCAAAAATGTTACAGTTCCAGAATAGAATATGCAAAGTGTAGACTTTTTTCCTTTCCAAAAAAGTGTGTTCAACTTGGCATTCAAACATTTATCCACTGATGGTAAAAAAAAAAAAAAAAAAAAAGGTTTAAACGACGAAGTTAAAGTTACACCTCTCATTGCTGCCAAATTCTTGGCATTCTTTGCCTTCTCCATGTCCTTTTTTCCCTTGAGGTTGATCTTAGTTTCAGGGGACTTAGATGTGGACCTACTGCTGAGTAAGAGACATCTCCTCCGTGAATCACGCTCTTACCTAGTGGCCTCCTCTACGGTGTGGTTTTATTTTTCTCAGATCGTCTTCCGAAATGGTGATGTGCAGGGATCTGCTGCTGATACCTGCAGCTCTCTCTTGACTTCAGATTTAGATTCCCATATACTCTGCAAACTCAAAAAGTTCAATTGATGAATGCAGCAAACATTTACTTCTAGCTCAAATACCAGTCCAATCTAGGAGTTCTTAATCGCTACGTAGCTTTCCTTCATGCAGAAATTTAGGAACTCAGCATCCTTTCACCTACGGTTCCACCGTTCTCTAAGGCCAAAGTTCCCACACTTTCTCGGTTTACATGCTTTTGGGGGAATATATATTTTGGGGGGCTGCAGACCAAAAGAAATACCTAATAGTGCTTTGTATTCAGTAGTTAGGGACAAATGATTTAATAGTTGTCATCTGCTCAGTGTTCTACAGACCGTGCTGCTTTTCTCTCAAAAAGTTAACACATCCCAAAGACTCGCTTTGATTTATTACGGAGTGTTCTGCTATTGCTTTTTCCTGTGAATATTTGCTACATCCTTAGGTACCTCTGTGAATGCACTGTGGTTGCTGAATTGTATGCAGGAACAAAGACCCTATGGCCTTGGAGCCTTTTCTCCTGGCCATAGGACGGGGAAAGATTTGGGGAAAGCATTCCTGCTTCTTACTCTTTTCTGCTTACCTTCCCTTGGCAAGGGCTGGACATAACGCCCCACCTTCCTGCCAAGAAGGCTGGGAAATGCAGCCTCTATCTGGCATGCCACCTGTCAGTATGGAAATAAGAGCACACATTTTTTGGTAGGCAGCCAGCTGTTTCTGACACACTTGGCAACCTCTTCATCCTAACGTAGATCCTATTGGGTCCTTGGGCTCATTCTCAGACTGTTCTGAACCCTGGAGGAGTGGCAGTAAAGGCTAAAAAATAGTCTGACCTAGCCTGCATCAGTTAGGGAGCCCGCCCTTGGGTTCATCTCCCCAAACAACTCCCTCAGTTATTGCTACTCTACGACTCAGGTGCCTTATGGGTTGTGTGTCTCCTTTTCAAGGCTTGTGAGTTCATGGGTTACATTCTGAAAAGTTTAAACATAATCTCCTCTGCTCTGATCATTTTTGAGTTTCTATCAGCAAACATTTCTATACCTGCCCCACCCATCAGGTAGGTGACTCCACCACTAGAAGAATAATCCTGGGCCATTCACATGAACCCATATTTATTTCTCTTATTCGACTCTTTAACTTTTTATTTCTGTGCGTAGAACTAATTTAACATTAGTATACATTCTTTTTTTTTTTTTTTTTT